CCTTCCATATACCACCATCACTTGCCTTCTCAATATCAGTGCCTAAAAGAGGGTAAAGAAGTTAAAAGACCTCATCGCATGGAGGTCCAGAAGCCTGGAGACAGTGGGGTAAATCACGGGGCAGCACCCAGTTCCATCCCCTTACTGTTGTGGGTTATGGGCTGCCATTCCACAATGTTTATGTGCTGTCCCCAGCTTCCTACCGTGCTGTCCCTTGCTTCTTCAATTAGGAGACGAGTAGTCATCCAACTCCACAGGGCTCCCTATCAGCACATTACTGGCACGCTAACTGCATGGCTGAGGGAAGTAGCTCTGCATCATCTGATGGGCTGCAGTGGATTCTGTCCCAGCAACATGCCAGCAGTGTGCAGACAGGGAAGTTGTCTGCTGAAGTTGAAAAACTCTTCTTCCTTCCTTTTTGCTTGTTACTCCTTTAGTCACTTGGAGACAGAAACTGAACATGCACCAATAGAATGGAGAAAATGGCATTTTAGGGTACATGGATCATCAGCAGGTGCCCAACAATGCTGATTCTTGAATGATGCTGGTTCGTAGGCCATTACTTTAACGGTTGACTTGCCTTGAAAGGTGAACATGACTCAATCCTACACATGTGATGTCTAATCTTTTATCTACTTTGTCCCATCTGCATCAAACAACCTAATGTTCTGCTTGATAGCATTGACTCTATTCTATAGAAACCACAGATATGGGCTCCCTGGGGATTAATGGATCTAAACTAGCTGTAGCTATTAGCTAATGATGCAGTGGTAAAGGCTTTCTTTTGGATAGTTTTCCTTACTGTCTGGGAGCGAGGAGAAAAGGACACAATTGATGGGTCATCATGAAATTCTAGCAGGATGGAGAATAACTCATTGTTATTAGTACCTTCATACTCCAAACCCTTCACCCACTAGCACATTTTAACGTTTTCATCAGAACTGTATTTGCCATGGCTGCTGTATGATTATTTAATTGAGAGAATCATATGGGCTTATCTTGCAAAATATTGTTTAAATGAGCAATTGAAATCAACACCTCTTTTCTCCAAGAACAAATTAGCCACTTGTACACAGAGTTCTGGCTATTTATAATTATGGTTTGTTCCTTACGCTTTGAGCACATAATAGCGGAGATGATCTCTCAAGAATAAGTGATGTATCTAACTTTTCAGAGTCTGGAAAGTTTGGAAGTGCACATCTAATGAAGAAGCAACTATGGGTTGTTGTAGGTTTTTCAGGTTGTATGACCATGTTCTAGAAGCATTCTCTCCTGACATTTCGCCTGCATCTGTGGCAAGCATCCTCAGAGGTTGTGAGGTTTGTGAAGCAACTATTTTCGAATAACCACGTGCTTTTCAGCCTTCTTCTCCTTGTCCTCTTTCTTCACTTACATCATTTCAATTCTACGTGCAACAACTTTGTTCAACTAATTAACAATATGTATTGATCTAGGGGCCAGTTTCCACTTCCTGGTCACACACCACCCAAATTGGATTGTTGATGGAATTTCACTCGCTTTTCATAAACTGGTGGATCCTTCCCTCAAAACAAGGTACAGGAGGAACTTGTCTCCTGTTGACCTTGTGGGCCACTCACTCTCATTATCTGTTTCTCATGGGCCTCTTTGGAGGAAAAGTAACATACAAATAATGTAGTAGTAATTTTAGTAATTTTATTGATTAGCCCTTAGGCCATATCACAATAAGAAACAGAACAACAAGGCCATACAAATAATGTTTCTGGTCAGACTGCAGTTACTTGAAACCATGGCTATTACTGATCATCATTAAATTACTCTGATTTCTGGTAACAGCATACCATAGGGGTGATCTGGAATTTTCTAGATCTTCCAGTACAACTCTGTGGCAACTTATGGGTCAAGCATACCATAGAATCATCTGGAAGATTTAGCAAATTCCTAGAGACCATTTTCCTCTGTATGCAGGAAAGCTCAAACTGCAGAACCCATATACATGTTTATGAGGGAATCTTACTGTATTTCAAAATCCCCCAGCTCCAAGCTTTAGATGTCTTTTTTTCCTCTGTAGAAAGGGACACAAGGTGGACCATTTCCTGTATTCCAGCTGCCTCATGTAACACAACCTTAAACTGTACATGCTGCTGGTGTCAGTCCAAAACCTTTTGTTACTTTTCCACCCATTTGAGAGATAGATGAGACATCCTTTTCCAATGGCTTGTGCCTTTTTATATTAAGGTTTTATTTATTGGCTCTAAACTGCTGTGAGTTATTTAGAGAGGGATGAGTTGATAGCGAAAGGAAACTGGAGAGGCGAGACAGAAGGCATACAAATTTCTGACGACGGTTGGTTGGATCTGAATTTAGTAGCATACGTCCAGGCTGGCAGGCACAGATGTAGTGTGGAAAGACTGCAAAGAGCAGGGAATTGTTAAATGAGGGGAGATGTGGTATAGAAGTGGAGAAGCGATACCTGGAAATTTTTTATCTTTAGATAGAAGTTTTTGATTACAATTCATCTTTAGCTTTTCTGAAGAAGCTTCCATTTCTGAAACCTGCCACAAAGATTCCCGATTATACCAGATGTATCTTCCCCATTGGAAATGGTGTTAAATCTCCCACTGTTCTCTTATGCCACTTTTACTTCAATCCCTCCACTTTCTCTAAAATTTAACTAGAGGTGGGGAACATGTAGTTTTCCAGGTTAGATACCTAGTTCTCCTCAGACCCAGATAGCATGGGCAATGCCCACATATGATCAGAGTTGTAGTCTAAACACTAGAAGGCTGCTGAATCCTATTGGCCTCTTACCCTGCCATTGCATTACTCTTGTTTCTCTCCTTATTTTTCTGTTTCCTGTATTGTTTCCCCAAAGGTAACAAGCAATGGCATGTTGTTGTTTATTCATTCTGTCATTTCCGACTCTTTGTGACCTCATGGAAATCAAGGAAAGAACACCAAATAGATGAGCCACAGAAAGACCTGTAGTTTGTGCTGGAAAGGGAGGACTGTATGAAGATTTGAACATGGAACATAGATGCCAAAAGATCAAAGTAGTAACCTGTTTTCCAGAGGAGTTGAATGGGCTAAATTGGTACACTCTGCTGGAATTTTGCCTATGATGGTCTGCCTACTATTGAACCTAGTTCTAAGGATGATTGCCCAAAACTCAGGTTGTTCTCGGAAAGTGTTGCAAAAAACCTTGCTTATTTTCAGTTCTCAAAAATCTGTAGCTACTTAGCAATAGACAAATGAAAATGATCTGGGAATAAACATTGATTCAGTCTAAAAATTTATTGAACTAATTATTTCACTAAAGAAAGTCCAGACAAAAGGGCAAAAATTCTGATTCCCACAGGTTAGCTACCGTACAAATTCATAGATAAGTAGACCTCAGTTATAAGTGAGGACAGGTTTTGGAAACAAAATCATGAATTTTGAAATTATCCACTAATGAGTCAGAGGTTGTCTTGTGGAGACGATAAAGGATCAATGCTATCCCAGCGCATCAGTCATATCTATCGCTGCAATTTTCCTACTCCAGAATTCAAAAAAGATAGAAACAGCATCATGACAGAGCTGAAAGTGTCAATGCTTCTTTTATGTTCTGCCAGGATGAACGGAGCTCTCACCTTTTGTCATTTACCCACCCCCGCCCTAAACTTTAGACTTACAGTTGCCATAAGTATGAAACAACTTGAAGGCACACAACAACAACAATCCTAATTAACTTGACTATCTCATCAGGCAAAAGAAGGCCCACACTTCCCACTGAAATACTGGCAAGTGTATGTTGCTTACAATTGCTCTTCATTTTAAATATTGTATTGTTCTTTAAAAAATTGCACTACAAACAAAACAGGTGCAGTGTGCATAGGAATTTGTTCAAGTTCTTTTCAAACTACAGTGTTCCCGTGCCGCCTTGCGGTTCACATTATGCGGACTTGCTGTTTCGTGGTTTTTAAATAAATATGAATTTATTGGCACTGGTGGGCCACTACGTTCAATGAGCCCTCCGTGGCTGCCTTCTCTTCTCCCATGCATGTCAGGGCCGGCTTCCCTACTTCACCCCAGCAGCCTTTGCAGGGCTGCCCTGGGCCTCCATGGCCTCCGCAGGGCTCCATGGCCCCAGTAGCTCTACAAAGGCTGCCAGGGTGAGATGGGGAAGCCAGCCCTGGCCAATCCAGGGGCGGGGTAGGGCCTGCCACTGGTTGGCCAGCCAGCCAAGCGGCGGGAAACTTCTCACCGTGCAGGGGGCTTCTGGGAAGAGGAAGCCCCCTGCAAGCAGCATGGCTGACGGGAGGGCACCCACTGCCCTTGTTCGGTAAGTTGGGGAAGGCATTTCTGATTTTAAAATGACAAAATGTATACAAATATATTAAAAATATTAATTCTAAACACTAAAAGAATATTATAAATCATAAAAAATTACCATTTACACTAAACAGGATTGTAAATACTCTATCTATCTATCTATCTATCTATCTATCTATCTATCTATCTATCTAGAGTGTCCCTACTTCGCGGATTTTCACTTATCGCGGGTGGTCCTGGAATGTAACTCGCATGATAAGTGAGGGAACACTGTATATTCTGTCCTCCCAATAGTCTGAGGGACCACGGACTGGCCCTCGGCTTAAAGTTTGAGGACCCCTCATAAATGTTTATAAATACACAAAATAAACCTTTTCAGTATGGAATTCTCTCTGCCTCTCCTGCTAGCCTTGCAATTCAAGGTAAAAACTTGTCTTGTCTTATGATTTTTTTTAAAAAAAGCAGACAAATACACTGACAGCCATCCATCCCCAAATTAGTCTGTTTGACTCACAAGAAAATAATTAAAAAATAATTCTTAATGGGATAGAACCATACACACACACACTTTTGAAAATTCTTTATTCATTTTCTTTTGCCTTAAAAAAATTATCAGTGCAACAATTCAGAACTTCCACTCCTCGTCCACCAAACACTGAGCAGTAGTTAATTTTAGTTAGGAAATACTGAGTTCTGAAGCCAGTGAGTTATCATTTTGCTATTTATTTCCTTCTGTCAAACTCTGAAAAAGTCCTCTGTATAAATTAAACAAATGAAAAAATGTTATTCTCAATCCTAGGTCATCATTACAGCCAACAGAATCATAATAATGCATCTAAAATGTGTGTCCACAATATATCAAGGTATACATTTGGGAGGGTGGGAGGGGAAACACAAGAAAAAATATGACATTCTAGACTTGTTAAAAAGGATAATGGTCCCATATATTTATTAACAGGTTAGCAAAAAACAAAACAAAACAAATCCAATGGATTACATTATTTACATGTTATTTGAAAAATAAAGTAGTGATAAAAGCATGTCACAATCATTTATTTCATTTTTTGTCATCTATTTCTTTTTTTTTCATCTTTTTCATTTTTGGTAACCATTACAAACACCCAATCCAGGTATGGAACTGTTTAAATACATTTGAAACGAGGCCAATTTAAAAGAAAACATTCAGACACAAAATGTGTATTTATACTTGTCCTTTCAATGTGTTTTCCACATGACTGTCCCTCCCTCCAAATAAAAAAGGTCCCTACCCCCCACAAAATATGAATCCTCAAAATCAAAACACCATGCTTTTCAAGTAGCACTTATTTCACAAATGCAACAGTATTATTTTTCATTTTTTTGTTTCCTTTTCCACTCTTCGTTTGCCATCAATTTGAGGAGAAGTTCTGTTGGCTCTCGACTTCTCACCAGCTTCCTCTTGTGCCCACCCTTCCCACCCCAACCCTCCAAGTTAAAAAAAAGCGCCAAACCAAAAAAGAAGAAATGAAAATGAAGAACAACCCAAAGAGACACATGCATTTCTAAACTAAGTTTCAGTCAAATACTTTCTACTTTTTGGAAAGAAACCCCTTTGTTCACAATCAGACCATTTCCCCCATGGGTCCCGACCTTCTGATTCATGGTCATGCAAAACGTTCGAAGACACTTCGCATGAATTCAGGAACACCAGTCTCAAATCCCCATGGATGTAGTAGATTCCTATTTATGCTTCGCTGTTCCCCATCATGCGAAGAGCTAACGGGAGCATGTTCATGAAATTCACAAAGAGTAGACCATCTACCTCCAAATAGTACAGAACTGGATCACCTCAAGCTTTCAAAATTATGCTTTCAGAATTTCCGAAATGCCGGGAATTTCAGAGCCATCAGCTCCCTCCCTTTCTCCCCCATCGCACCAAAACAAGACGCACCACATACGAAGAAAAGGCAACCATTCGTAAGAACGAAAATAAAAACCAGTGAGAGATGTTGAAATCTGACAAGCAACAGAATGATTACGAGGAGCCATTTGGCCCACAACCTGCATAGCTGTGCTGTAAGTTTGGTTCTTTAGTATTAATGGGGGTTTTCTCTTTCTGTTTTTCCTCTTTTCTTTTTTAAAAAGTCACTTCTTTGCTATTTTCACATGTTTGAAACTAACAGGAGTGGGGAGAGAATAAAAACCCCCATTATATTCACAAAAACTAATCCCCCTTCCCAGCATCATCTACTGGGTGGGTAGAGGGCCAGGGTGGGGAGTAACAATACTTTACGTGAAAAAACAAACAAACCAACAACCCGAAACTTAATTGTGCTGTGTTTGTAACCCCTTAGGCTGAGCAGACGGAGACATGGGGCAAAACAAGAACGGCACATAGTCAGTCACATGAGTCTTTTAAAAAAAACCACAACAACACACACGCACCCTAAAATCATAGCTGAACGCTAACAAACAGCTTACCTGGAATAAAAGATGACAAGCCACGGACAGGTATCTAGGAATTCTCTTTCTCTCTCTTTCTCTCTTTCTTTTTTGTATTTTTTTTACTAAAATAATTAAAAAATCACAGTATTTAAGAAATAAAACCCCCACAGGGATTTTTGAGCACAATTTTGTTTTCCTTTTGTTTTAAAACTTTGTGGTTTTTCTTCCATTCACCATCTTGCTCAGCAGTCTTGTCTCTACATTTAACCACAACAACAACAGGTAGTACTGACAAATGCAGAGATTTGTATTTTTTTAATATTTCCCTTGGTTAATTCTGAGGTACTAGGAAACAGGTGACTGTTTTAAGCAAAAAGCAGTTTTTTTGTTTTGTTTTCTTCTTCTTCTAAAGCGAGTCAGTCAGTCAGTCAGTCTGGAAAAGCATATGTATATTAAAATTAGAAAAAAAGCGCCCAAAGTTGTGCGCTGAAAATTGTCCTCTGCACTCTTCCATCCTCATGACGCTTCCATCCTTGAAATGATCCAAAGTGTCCATGGCAAAGCACAACGGTATAACGCAAAGAGCATTGGCGAGTTTGCTCCTCGAGTCCAATTGAACGGAAACGTCCCACTGTCAAGATCCAGAAGAGTTGCAGAGATGTCATGAAGCCACATCGTTTTGTTGTCCTCAATTAAATAAATTTAATATATGTACACACACGCAAAAACACACACGCACACACACACACGCACGCACACACACAGGTACCAGTGCTTTGAAAATAGATCATTCAGTCCTAAAAGCAGCTTTGATTCTTCCTTGTCCCCCTCCCCACCCCATCCCATCCATCACTGTTCAAGTAGGTTGTCTGAAATCACACCAGGTGCTCATTCACTTTTGGCCTCTGTATTCTCTTGGAGTGATTTATCAGCAGCAGCAACAATACAGACGGCAGGTTCATTCTTGTGGGAAAAGTCCACCACTATTGACATGCTGCTTTCCATCTCTTCTGCCAACGGTAACTTCACATTCTCTTCTGGGTTCTCTTTTAGCTGGCTGTCTTCACTAATCACCTGATTGATTTCATTCACAGCCCTGGGAACCCAGAAAGAAGGGGAAATAGGAAAAAAATCCAGACATGTGAGTACATGCTAAACCATATTTGAAAAACACTTCCCTACTAGGTAGAGACAAAGATTCCAGAGAGGTGAGGAACAGATTCCAGAGAGGTGAGGAACATTTGGCTGTTGCAGCAGACCCAATGAAGAGTCAGTGATCATTCAGATATTTTTGTTGGCCAGCATTCACTCTGCTACATCTTTCAAATCAAACTTGTGGGAGGAATAGATTTGTCGAAGGCTTTCATGGCTGGAATCACTAGGTTCTTGTGGGTTTTTTCAGGCTATAGGGCCATGTTCTAGAGGCATTTCTCCTGACGTTTCGCCTGCATCTATGGCAAGCATCCTCACTACCTCTGAGGATGCTTGCCATAGATGCAGGCGAAACGTCAGGAGAAATGACTCTAGAACATGGCCCTATAGCCTGAAAAAACCCACAAGAACCTAGGAATAGATTTGATTTTTGCAGATTTGAGTATTCAAGGATTTGATGAAAATGTTCTCTTTTAAAATCTCTTGGGTCCTCTACGGATTGCCAAAAGTTGATCATAGTCATGCTGGAGGACCTAGAAATTCCTAGATACAATATCTCTCTAGAAATCTTTAGGAAGAACCTCTTCAACCTGTGGCCCCCAAGGTGTTTCTGCCTCCAACTCCCAGAAGCCCTAGCCAGCTTGTTCAATGGTCAGATATACTGAGAGTTGAAGTCCAAAACTCTTGGAGGGCCAATGGTTGAAGAGGCCTACTTTAGGTCCTCCAGTACAATACAGCAGAAATTGACCATAAAGGCAGAAACTAGATAATTATAAAGAGGTGTTCTCTCCATTTTTTGAAAAAACAATTCTATTATTTGTAGTTTTTTGAAAAAATGTGTTCTCAACTCTGGTGAATGTGGTGGGATGACTACATACAAAAAGGATAAGAAATCAAAAACAGAAAATAGAAAAAAGAGGCTATGTCAAGTCATATAATCAAGCGATTCAAAAGACCAGTCTATCAAAGTACTATGAAGACTCCAAATGAATCCAGAATCCAATCAAACTGGATTCAATTCACATTTTTTTTAATTTACTTCATTTCTACCCCACCTTTCTCTATCCCAGAGGGGACTCAAAGCAGCTTACAAATCCAGCAAAATTCGTAAGTGTAATCCAATCCCAACTAGTAAAGCACAAGGTGAACAGGTTCAGGTCATATTAATCTGAGAAATGGCAAGTAATTGAATTGGAATTCCACCAATCTTAACAGATTCGAACTCATTTCGAAGTCACTATAGAAAGTATTGAGGGAATGAAGTTGATAGCACAAGTCTAAAATTTACTAAGTCTACACATTTGAGAAAACCACAGTGGAACCTAATTTATAGAGCAGCCACCAATAATTTGGTGGAAGGGGTTCACTTCTGATATTGCTTCCTTCACAAAACACATGAGGAGTAAGAACTTTCCTGAAATTTTACTAGCCAGTAGTTTTAGGGCTACTTACATGCCATGCCTCAGTACATGCCTTTCCCACTCGGAGCCCTCTGCAAACGTCCGGCCACAAAATTCACATGCAAACCTTTTTTCTGGTGGACCGTTCTCTGAGAACCCCATGGACTCTGTAAGGAAAAAAAACCATATGGAAGCATTGAGTAAGATTTCTTATATTTCTCTTAAGAATGAAGAAGAAAATTGAAGTTTCTTATGAAGTCCAACAAAGTAAACACACATGAAACTTGTTTCCAAAAGGCACCTAATCCATCTGAACAAATTTTACAGGAATCAGAAGAAATGTGCTGAGGATACTCATTCTTCTGCTATACAATACAATTTTCCAGGCTCTGTACCAAAGTGATTTGAAACATTTTGATAGCTTTGATCTGCACATAATATTCTACTCCTAGCCAACAATGTGCTGTGACCTAGAACTCATTTTTCAATTTTTTGGGTTTTGGTACCTTTGGAAACGAACTCCACACATGTCAGCTTCCAAAGGAATATGATCTGGGAAGCCTGCATAAGTGCATATAAACTGGATTACTTAATAGCAATACTCTAAACCATGGGTGAGAAATGTCTAGTAGGTGGCCTTCTCTCCGAGCCATGTGTGAGGCCCCTCTCTGAAAAGGAAGAATGATTGCATAGAAGCCTCAAGAAAGATTCCTTGAGGCTACAAGTTAGATGGCTTTGCTCTTCTTCTGCTTTTTCCATTGTGGAAGGCGATGGGAAACGAAGCCAACCTCAAGCTTTGAAAGCACAATGAGAAGCCAATTGACCCTGCTTCAGTTTTCTCTCGATCCTTAAAAGGAGGAGGAAAAATGGCACCGGAAGGAGGTATTACTTCCATCCTTCCATTTCATCTCTTCCTGGGTGAAGATCCCAGATGATATTGAGAGAAAGGAAGACCCTTTGATGCCATCCATCCCCCTCAAGAAGTATCTATCCTACAGCCCTGAGGAGCTATCCAAATCCCTAACCTTGCTGAGGATGCTTGCCATAGATGCAGGTGAAACGTCAGGAGAGAATGCTTCTAGAACATGGCCATATAGCATGAAAAACCTACGACAACCCGATGTAGCCTAAATATTGTAAAGGTACTATATCCTCTCTCAAGTAAAGGCGGGTCTGGCTAGTACTTGGAGGGAAGACCACCAAGGAATACCAGGTGCTGTAGGGTAATTTTCACAGAAAGACAATGGCAAACCATTTTGAAATACTCTGCCCAAGAAAACTGTGTAAAATTCATAAGATCATGAAAAGTCAATGGGTGTCTTGAAAAATGGATACTGAGCAGTTCCTGTTGACCACATGTGAAGAAGCCATTTCCACCCCCAAAGGAACATGAGGAATAATATGAGGTTAAAATTTCATTTCACAAACACATCCTTTTAGAGTATACAGTCCCATCTTTCCAAACATACCTGGTTTATCATTAATGTCATATTTTACATTGCATTTCTATTCCTATTTTAAAACAATTTGAACCACAATTCCAGTTGCAAGGCCACAATTCCACAACAAGAAATTCTAGGAATTACAGTAATGTTAAGGAGAATAAAAAAATCCTTAGGACGTGAAGAATGAGTTTGGACATTGCAAGGATGCAGAGAACAGAAAACAGAAGCATGATGTTTTATGACTCTAAGCCGTAGAAAATTACCTCATGGCTTCAGGAATCAAGTGTCCTGATTCAAGCCCTATTCAAATGTAACAGAGAAGTCCACAACCTCTCACCAGAGAAAGCACAAGCAGTCATGAACCAGCACATGGCCATGCAAAAGTGTGTTCAGAATAATAATAAATAAACTTTATTTGTATACCGCCCTATCTCCCCAAAGAGACTCAGGGTGATTTCCAATATATAAGGCAAACATTCAGTTGCCAAAAAGAAAACCATACAGACAAATTACATCATGACAAGCACATTAGACAATATAGAACAACTTAATTTAACTTAATAAACAAAATAACAAAAAGTAAAAGAATAAAACAGAAAAATAAAGAAATAACACTGTAAATAGAGATCTGCCCAATTTTGGCACAAGAGATGTATTAATCTGGCCAAGGTGGTCAATGCCTTAGTCACATCCATATTGGATTACTGTAATGCACTCTATGTGGGGCTACCCTTGAAAACGGCCCGGAAATTTCAACTGGTTCAACCAGCGGTGGCCAGGTTGCTAACTGGAGCTCCTTACAGGGAGCAGTCAACCCTCCTGTTTAAGGAGCTCCATTGGCTGCCGTTCATTTACCGGTCCCAATTCAAGATGCAGGTGCTTACCTAAAAAGCCCTAAGCAGTTTGGGACCCGCCTACCTGCGTGACCGCATCTCTGTGTAGAAACCCACATGATCTCTTCAATCATCTGGAGACGCCCTGCTCACGCTCCAACCACCATCACAAGCGCGATTGGTGGGGACGAGGGAGCGGGCCTTATTGGTGGTGGCCCCTCAACTCTGGAACTCACTTCCCAGGGACATTAGGCAAGCTCCAACTTTGGCAGTCTTTAGGAGGAGCCTGAAAACGTGGCTGTTTCAGTGTGCCTTTCCAGAATAAGGAAACTCCCAGCAAGATGTCCTTAAACAAACTTTAATAATGACTTTAGATTGTCTGCACATTTCTTCCCTCTCCAAAACCTTTATCCCAATTACATGTTACCTGTCTATGCCCAGCATTATTTTTTAATATTTTAATTATTACATTTGGCCCAGCCATAAGTTTTTAAATGTGTCGTGTTATTGTTATTGTTTTTTTGCTTATTTTGCTTATGAGTTATGTATTATTTTTGTATTATTGCTGTTATTGTTTATTGTTGTGTTATGGGCTCGGCCTCATGTAAGCCGCACCGAGTCCCTCGGGAGATGGTAGCGGGGTACAAATAAAGTTTTATTATTATTATTATTATTATTATTATTATTATTATTAAGGATATGTATTAGATATCTGTCAAGGCCACATAAAAGAGACACCAACCTCCTCTCTCACCAGAGAAAGAAATATTTTCCACTTTCAATTTGTTTTACTCGTTGTCCATGAGAATGGGCATACATGCAAACACTTACATCATTATAATAACTAGAGCAGCTTCCACAAAAAATTAACCTGTTTCAAGGGTTCTTTGGGGTTAACATTAGTTATAACTCTAGTATTGGAAAGGGCTTCCAAATAACAGCAAAGACGATAGTGTAGTGCAGAGATGACGAACCTTTTAGAGACTGGGTGCCCAAACTAGGGGGGGGGTGCACTCGAGGGGTGGTGAGAGAAACTTGGGGCAGGTAAGCAAGTGAGCAGGCGGGGGGGGGGTTGGGCGAATGAGCAGGGTGCGGACGAGCGAGGAGTTGGGTGATGGCCCACAAGCCAGGAAAGAGGGTGTTGCATGCCTCTTCTGGCATATGTCTCAAAGGTTCACCACCACTGGTCTAGTGGCTTTTGGAAGGAAATCTAGAAGAGAGGCGTAGATGCTGGCATGCCTTTTTGCATTGAGAGTTGGGACTTTGTAATGTGCTCCAGATTAATTGAAATGAACGGGAGTTGTACCACTAGCTTTAATCAAAACACGGCTTGCTGCCAGTTTTCCTGAACATGCAAGTTCCACCTTTAATGCAATGTGTTCCTTGTACAGGATGAAACCCAACAAAGGGTTTCATTAATCTCCGCAGACTGGGCAAGATCCAAATGAAGTTGAAACCTTTTTTTAAAAAATGTTCTGTTGGTTTTGGTGGGAAAGAGCCAGTCCATCTGCTTAAATCAATGGGAGTGGATTGTGCTCAGGATGGATTGTGCGCTATCAAGCCATTAATTGGGTCCCCTCAACACCTTGAAGTCGCAGTAGACATCCTACACGGGAAAAATGCAGGTCCTCTGTGAACAAGAGAGCCGGCCACAAACAAAAGATGAAATGTTTTCTCACAAAATTACGATGAACGCCACACAGGCCATTAAAAATAATTGCTTGGACTCTCTTGCTTGATTCTTTTCACTGAAAATGAGACGGTGCCATCTGCTCCAAGCATTAATTCTTTAGTGGGGATTATCTTGAGCAAGAAAACAACAGAATGCCAATGCCTTTGCCTTCCCAGAGTCCTCTCAAAGTACATAATGAAAGAAATGGGGAATTTTGCTTCATTTAGTGCTGATCTCCGCTTACCTCATTTCCATGTTTTATTATAATGTACACAGCTCATGAGCCAACTTAAGCTTCTGACAATATCTCTTTCTCTCTTGTGCACACACACAAAAACATGCACACTGTGCCTGACTTTCTTTCTTTGGGCAGTTTCACTACTGGAAAGAGATACCATCACTTTCTCCCCCAAAGCTTTTTCCCATGTCTTGATTGTCAAAATTATCTATCAAGGAGTGCGCGTTACTACAAAGAGATTTTTTGTTCTCTTGATGCTAAAAGTGCCTTTCATAAAATGCTGATCTTTAGTCACTTAAGTATGTCACCGTTTGCTCCGAAAGCAGAATAAATTTGCCACAGGACAGAAAGGGAAAAGGGAAAAGGTGGTGGTGCTCAAAAAACAAGTCCTGTTTTATTGAAAATCCCAAATTTTGCTGTTAAAAATTAATTTATTCTGAGTGGGCACTTACTCATACTTTTATTTCAATCAGCATGTTTTATGCAATTTGCACATACTATTTCCTGGTCCTATCTTCTTCTCCCAGGTAAGGAGTTTTATTTGGAAATATTGGGGAAGGGGGGAGATATTAGGAAAAAATAATAGGGGAGAAGAGTTTGGCAAGAGTTGATACGTAGAGCAGATCTCTTAATGTCTATTCACCATGATGGCTAAGAATGAATAGTTTTATGTTCTGTGTTCTGAATGCCAAATGCAAGGAACAGATGAAAAGAGTTTTTGAATGAAATGATAAAACCAAAAAACAGCCCTTCTGAACCAATAATGACTACTCTACAGAGGACAACGGAAAATCCAGAATACAGGTAGTCCCCAAGTTACAAACATGATAGGTTCTGTAAGTTTGTTCTTGAATTTTTATGTAAGTTGAAATAGGAACTTTTTAAAAGTGTAACTCCAGCCTCTCTCTCTCTCTATATATATATATACTAGCCATCCCCTGCTACGCATTGCTGTGGCCCAGTCTGTGTATATGTGCTTTGTGTGTAGGTGTGTGTGTGTATATATATATTTGTGTATATGTGTATATACGTGTGTGTGTGTGTATATATATATATGTGTGTGTGGTTTTGTGCATGCGTTGTAATGTTTTATATATATATATTGGCTTTTTAAGTCTCTTTGACTGTGTTTTTCAGTGTTATTATGAGTGATGGTTACTTGTTGGCCTGATAGGTCTATTGTGTCCAAATTTGATGTCAATTCGTCAAGTGGTTTTTGAGTTTTGTTAATCCCACAAACGAACATTACATTTTTATTTATATATATGAGCTTTGGGTAGCACAGGGAAGCATTAGCACCCCTGTAGTGTTTGTTTAGCTCTCTTTGCCCCTGTTCAGAAGATTTCACTTCACTTTCTGTCCCTGTGATAATTGGATTTTGAAAAAATTGGCTTGTTGTGGAAACAAGGATTCGTGAGAAAGCTTCAGTGGAGACCCTTTTCCCCATGATAACTCTTTCAGGAGTGAATTTCCCTTTCTAGCCACAGATTTCTCTCATTTCCTATTGTCTCACCCCTGTTCTTAACTACGAGTCGTTTGTAAGTCATATATTTGAGACTCATGGGACTGCCTGTAGTTAGTGTGGTGAAAAAACTGTTGAACAGAAATACAGATCTCCCATTCAAACCTGGCATGAATTCACTACGTAGCTGTAGCTCTTTCTCCCAATTTCAGTATAGGGTTAATGACACTTTTGTGCTGTAATAGCACGTTCATAACGTAATTGGATTAGTATCAGGCAGCAGGACTGAAACAGTATGCACACACAAAGCTATCCAGAAGTCTAGATGATATTATGAGATGGTTGCTCAGACTTGTATACCATAGACTAGAGCGCCAAAATAAGACCCAAAGGCCGGATGCAACCCTCAAAGGTCATTTACTCAGGCCCTGCCCTAACTTTCAGACTTAGAGTTGCCCTAAGTATGAAACAACTTGAAGGCAAACAATAACAACAAGGCTAATTAACTGACTCTCATCAGCCGAAAGCAGGCCCAGACTTCCCAATGAAAAACTGATATTGATGTAAATGGGGAAGTGGATCATGGGAAATCTGGGCCTATGAGCCAAAATGAGATTTGAAGTTCTATAAATGATCAGTCTGTGTCTCCAGCAGTGAGTGAAGGTCACATTCCAGAGAGGTGCCGAGATGATGCAGCAGAGACATCCTCTAGGGAAACGAGTTCAGAGGTTGAAATCCCAGGAGAGAATAATGAGTTGCAAGATGATGAGCTGGTTGATAGGAGACTCGGTTTTCGTAAACTTCGTGCCGCTCAACAGAATCTCTGAAGGTCACAGCACTTGTTAGAGAAGAGACTTGTATCAGGAAGTCATGGGAGAAAGCATGATTTCATGTGTATATTAGAGAGTCTGGTCAACGTTGGTAATTGAGGCAACAGCTCTTGCCAAGTTCTAGTCAAACCTTCTGAGATGTCTTTGGTCCTGTTTCATGCTTCCAAGTTTGAAGGATTATTCCTGGAGTTTTGTAATGGATTCTATGCTGCCTTGTACTTCTTGGTTTCCTTGTATTCCTGTGCTGGATGTCCTGTTGCTTTGAGATTTTGGATTACTCTTGTACCTCGTACCTTGAACCTTGTGGACTATTTTATACATATAGACTTTGAAGTTTTTACTATTTTTGCTACAGTGCTTTTTATGTGATCTTTAATAAACTGCTTTGCTGATTTAACTTGGACTGGAGTGTGGTGGTTAAGTACAGAGGTGTTTCCCGGCCTGGAGTGCAACAGAATCAATATAGATACGTACATCTGCAGTGGCCGCAAATTTTGAATACTGCCCCATTAAGCTAGCCTTTTGATTTATTACTTGCCTCACTGGCTGGGGAGATGATATAAATGCTATAAGAGAAGAGGCCAGGCGAATGTCAGAAAAACTAAGTGAGTGCAACTCTGGTAGCCTCTCGCTTAGTAACAGAACATTTAGGCAGATGGGAATATAATTCCATTGTTAAAGCAACTCGCTGGCTGCCAGTAGATTTCCGGGCACAATTCAAAGTGCTAATAATGACCTACAAAGACTAACTTGGCTTCTGATTATCTGAAAGACAATTTCTCCCAGTATCCCACTAAGATCTTTAAGGGGAGGCTTTCTATCAGTCTTGCTCAAGAGATAGTCTTCTCACTGCCTGCTGTCACCCTCCTCCCCTACTGCTCTGTTTCAGGCAAAGGTGCTTCTATTTAAGCAAGCTTTCAATGTATAACCGGTCTTTTTTATTGGGTACGCTTTACTTGTCATTTAAACTTTTTGTCTGTTTTAATTGATTTTAAAATGAATTATAGTAAGATTTCAATTGTTTTTAAATTGTATGGCAAATGTTTTTTATAGTTTTTGGAAGCCGAATTGAGAGAAAGGTGGTATATAAATTAAATAAAGTAAATTAAACATAGGAAACTGAAAGATCCTGAGTAAGATAGACAGAATTAAGGCAAGGGGGGGGGGGGGTTAAGATGAATAATCCATAATGAAATCCAGATGACGACCCACCTAATATTTCAAAAGTGGTACCCCGTTATGGAATTTCTTCCCAAAAGATGCTTGCCTAGCACCTATTACCAAAGGCAAAGGTTTTAATTTTTCTCTCCCAAGGTTTTCAAATAAATGTTAATATGATGATGATTTCAGTTTATTATTTGTTTTTTTACCTTGTTTCCATTAATCACTGTTGTTGTGAGGCTGAACATTTTAAACATCACACCCCAAACTCCCAATCTCATGGCAGTTAAAGTGGAATCATAATACTACATTTGTGTTGGTTCCTGGTTCCATTGGTTCCTGGTTCCATTTCAGATCAGAAGTAATAGATATTCTACCTTTGCTAGCCAAAATGGTTATTGATTAGGGATTATGAGAATTGTAATTAAAAAGTTCTCCAAAGGGCAACAGGCTAGGGAATACTGATCTAACTGAAAATGGATCCAGCTTTTCACACATACCTTACGAGTTATGCAGTTGATTTCAATGCAGAGCTATTTATAAGCCTAGCACACCATCTGGTCATTATTCCCTACTGAAACATCACTGTTATTCTAGATTTGCTCATTTGATTAGCAACTGAGTTTCATCTTTTTAGCTTCATATTGGCTTAAACCTAATAAAACTAGTTTCAGAAGGGCTTGGGAACACATAGACACACATGCATTGTTTTCATGGACAACTATTTCATGTGATCTGGTTGTTTCTCTGTTATCTGACAGCTGGAGAGAGAATGACTAGACTGCATTGCCTGATGTGTTCCTAAAGAAAAATGTTGGTGAGGTTTTTTAAAAAGGGAGGATGGAGAACCAGCTGGGTGCAGATTTCTGCTAAGCATTACAGACAAAGCAGCCATACTGACCTCTCTCATCAGTCTTGGGGCTCATCTCTTCTTCCTTTTCTTCCTCGTCACTGCTGGAACTTTCCTCTTTCCCCTTCAATTGTTCCAATTGATCTAAGTTAACCCGTCCAACCAGTTCAAAATTGCGACTCACCTGCAGAGAAGAAGAAGACAAAGATGTCCAGTTCATTCCCTGATATTTCCCATTGTATGCACGATATCCTTCTATTTCCCATTCACCAATATTCTATGCAACCCAGCCTCTCAAATTCTGCAAGAACAATTATCCCCATGTCAACAAAGACATGGTTCAAGACTCTGGACGTGATAAAAAATGACACAACAATAGCAGATGAATTCTAAGGACAATGCGAGCTTTTGCCTCTGGCATAGAGAGCATGAAAATGATAAGGAAGAGTGCTACCAAAAATAAACGAAAAGGGTGAGTGAGAAGGGTATTGGTATTGACTCTTCTGCCGAGAAGAGCAGGGATGAAGCATGTGTTCTAAAATTTAGTTTTGAGCACAAGTAATGCCCACAGGTGTCATATCTATCTATATAGTAAAAGTGTATGTATGTATGTATGTATGTATGTATGTATGTATGTATGTGACTGATTTTCTATTGGCTCCCACTTCCAAAGAGCCCTGTGACCTCCATCATCGATGGATCTGGACCAAACCTGACACACAGACCCAATATGGCCTATGAATTATGGTAGAATTTGGGGGAACTGACTCTGCATTTTGGGAGTTATAGTTCACCTATATCCAGAGAGCACTGTGAACTCAATGATGGATCTTGACCAAAACAGGATGCATACCCAACATGGCCAACTTTGAATTCTTACAGCATTTGGGGGTAACAGACCCAGAATGATGAGAGTTGTTGTTCACCCAAATTGTTAAATATTTTCTAATAGGACCATTCATAAAACCCCAAAATAAACAAGTTGCATTACATATAATGACATGGCAAAATGGTGTCCCTTATATAAAATGGCAAAAATCAAACTTTGCTTTTTGATATCTGTAAAAATATATTTTTCAGCGGCTGACAGTTGCGTCTATGAATACAGGATCTGTAGATATGGCGGGCCAACTGGACTTCCTTACAAATATCCAGGAATGTATTGTCGAAGGCTTTCATGGCCGGAATCACTGGGTTATTGTAGGTTTTTCGGACTGTATGGCCATGTTCTAGAAACATTCTCTCCTGACATTTAGCCTGCATCTGTGGCAGGCATTCTCAGAGGTTGTGACCTCACAGATGCAGGCAAAACATCAGGAGAGAATGCTTCTAGAACATGGCTATACAGTCCGAAAAACCTACAACAACCCAATGTCCAGGAAGATGGCAATTAGGATGTGGCAGTCAGATTCTTTCTTTCAATCTGTGGCGGTGTTGAATTTCAGAGTGGCATAGCAGGTGCCAGTGAATATTGATGGAAGACACTTACTTTATGCTCATCTCGGAGGTGGACGTCCAGCTCATCCGTGTGCTTGGTCTCATAGTAGCAGAGTTGGCATTTGTAAGGTCTCAACTCATTGTGCTTCTCTATGTGCTGCTGTAGGCTCTCATCACTGGAGCAGGTGAATGTGCACTTGTCACAGCGGAAAACAATTCCCTGCAGGTATTTGGACAGCTTCGAACGGCACACTTCTATGGGAACCACTCGCTCTTCTGTTCAGGGGGAAATAAAAGCTTTATTAAGGAGTAAAGACTTTCTGTATATATTTCAGATTTTAATATTAATGTTAGAAATAGGTAGCATATTACATAGGATTTGTGCCACATCAGAACAGTAAAGATAAATATCACTTAAGTAGAGACACAGAAAATATTAAATAACCAAAAGAATAAAATAATGTGTAAACTAGACATGTGCGTGAAACTTGTTCCTACCATTTCTACCATGTCATTTATTCAGAAGCACGAAATGGGAAGCCCCCTTCCCACATGAAAATTTGCTAGACACAAAAGCTTATATACACAGTCACTTCAGCTTTTTCCCACTGTCTCACCAATATTTATTTCAAACCTGTCCATTTGCCTTTTTCTTTTCTTTTTTTTGCCATTTACTCTCTGGTATTTTATAAGCATTTTCTTATTTCATTCTTACAACGTGTGAAACAAGAAGCTGCTTTCAACTGGTCAATGTGGCACATTAAAACACCCACGCAGATGCCCTCCTCTTTTCTGGTTTAACTTTGATTCCGCCAAACCCAACCCTAACTATTGAAATATTTCCAAAAGATCCCTTGATTTTGCAGTTTGGCATGTTTCCAGAGGTAATGAGATATTGCTCCATAATTTCCCAACGGAATGGTGAGAAAGAGAAGAGAAATGAACTGGTTAGGTTTGACTAGCCCTTTTTTCAAGAACTTGGACAGCACTGCTGACCTAATTGCAATTCTACACTGTTACTGTAGTAATGGCTATTATATTTATTTTGCACAAATGAATTGTCATACACTGTCCAATATATATATATCTGTAATTTTTCACCGTTTCCCCCCCTTCTCAATCAGAAAGCCCAACTCTTTTTATGAAGAGTGTATGTATACACACACATAAACACGCCTTGGGTACTATTGGGAGAAAGGAAGCTCTCAGAATTAATTACTTAATAATTAAAAGTTTCCATTACTGTATGCTGTAGGAGAGATAGTATCCCAATAAGGCAGTGGTTCCTAGCCTGTAGTCCGTAAGAACGAAAATATAGTCTGCAGCCTCACCATTGCTACACCGTTGCCTCGAAATTATGCGGCAACAAGAGCGAAAACCCACTTATAGTGCTGAGGCAATGGGGATGTCAGGAGGGGAGAGGCTGACTACGCACAAAAGATTACTACTTCCACATGAGCTCTAGATTAATAAAAAAAATTTCTGTGGACGAGCAGATGGCGACTACTAGGTGGCGTATGTTCTGTATCAGAAGCTAGATTTGATGTGGTGTATCCAATGCAATTTTCTGAATCAGCACCCCAAATAACCAAACCAAATCTAAAGTTGACCAAAAACCGATTCATAACCCTTTTGGTACTAATGTTGGAGAGTGGTCCCTGGTCAAAGCGGTATCTGGTCAAGTGGTCCCTGGTCAAAAAAAGGTTGGAAACCACTGCAATAAGGAAACCAGCCAGAAACACTGGTTAAATGGTACCAGTGGCAAAACTACAAAAAGTTATCCTGTTAGCTGGCAAAGGCATAAAGCAGCTTTGGGGAAGAACCTGGATAGTTAATTTGAGTAAGGAATTTCTTCTCTCATTACTCCTATATTTGAATAATAATCCATTGCTTTTCTTTGCGGCAATTTTGAAAGAAAGAAAAAAGCAACTTCCTGGATTGCTTGTTGTAATGCTCATTACTTTTTGTCATCACTATCTAAAACTAGGCGGTCTATAGTATTGATGAAAGAATGGCATAAAACTTGGAAGGAACTTTTGTCAAATACTTCTAAAATGCCCTTTAAAAGTAGCCTTTGGATGTAACTAGAAACTATTTGTTGCATCAATAAAGCAGCTTCACTCCTTATATTACTTTTGAAATAAGCATTAGACTCTTGCTACTCCAGCACACCGCCTAACCCCCCCCCCTTCCTGCAGCACACAAAGTCGCTACCGTACTTAGAAGTATTATTTATAACCTCTTTCTTCCAGGATCTGCGAGTAGTTTAGGTATATATTCAAAAAGTGAGTTGCCACAGAGGGAGGCCACCAAGAACCTCTCTTTTGCTGTCTGAATCTGACTTGAAAATCATATAATTATGTAGATGTCCCCTGCTGATTTTACATTATTATGAGGTTCCAATTGTGTAGGACTGCCCAAGGCCAATTATTGAAAACAGGGACTATGTCTACATCACAGGTTGAAACCGTCAGAAAGAAATGTCTTCAAACTAACGTAACTTCCAACCCAGATAATAATCTCGGAGCGGTAGCTTTAAAGAAGACACTTAGGATTTCTAACAATGAATTTTTAGTTCTCTCTCAGGATTACAATATTATAGAGAGGAAAACCAAATTCAAATTGCTTGACATTTGAAAAAAAAACATATGTCTCTAAGCCGAAGTGTTATTGCCCTTGTCTAATGCTGTTTTGATACATTAATGGTTAATTGTTTTAATGGTGTATGCTGCAAGTTGAAAGTTTGCCTGACAAAGTGGAGTAGAAAATATCCATAAGAATTAGCATTGCTAAATAGACGTTTGCATCTATCCTGATGAAATACCTCTTCCCATTAGTTTCAGAACTTCAAATTAATTGAATATGTATTAAAATATAAAATGAACATTTTTTCCCTTTCCCAGATCAGTTTGTCTAGCCTTTGTCTTCACCTCCCCAAAATATTTAGGATTAAATCCAGGCAAAACTGCTAACCACAGCAATCGTAGTTCATCCATCTTCAAACTTCACATAGCATGTGCCAAATCTGGATTTATGGAAAATAAAATATTATAAATATTAAAAAGAACTAAGCATGTGGCATTTGGAAGTGGAAGACTTTCAAAAAGTTCTTTCTCTCATTTTTTAAACCAGTGGTTCTCAACCTGTGGGTCCCCAGATGTACTGGCCTCTGACTCCCAGAAATCCTAACAGCTGGTAAACTGGTTGGGATTTCTGGGAGTTGTAGGCCAAAACACCTGGGAATCTACAGGTTGAGAACCATTTTTTTCTGGAGAGAGAACTACAACCTTTTGCAGCATTACCTATCTCATCTGAATGATCACATGAACAGAGGAATCATTCGCCTTACCTCCTTCCATGGTTGTGTTCCTCTTTATGTATAGAGTGGTGCCCATGGTCCATGTGGTGGCTCATACCATGAAACCCAATTTCATACAATCTCTATTTAGATGTTATTTACTCTATTTGAATTCACATGATAATAGGACAGTATGTAGCTGCTGTTCCTCCATCCTTGTTGTGCTCTCATGGAGAGCTACACATTCATGCTGTGAGTTTCTAAGGAAGTGGAAATGCTTCCTTTTCAGATTTATAACTTTCCACATGAGGAAAACAAGGCCAAAGAGAGAGGATTAGATATTTTCCTGTTTGCATGTGGACTCAAGCTGGGAAAGCAACTTCTAATTAGAGGTTATATGAATGTGAGTGTTATGGGTACAAACATCTACATGGACCATGAACTCTACACCCAATGCATTTATATTTCTGCATACAGACCTTAGAGTTTGTTCAGTTAGGCGTCTGAACTGGGGCACAGCCAGAAAATACATGATGCAATTACTCATCACTAGTGTTTGGAGTTGTATAATCATAATTATATGCAATCTTTTCCAATTATGTTCTACACTATTTGTGACAGTCTTATTCTTCTTTTAGGTTTTGCTCCTGTGACTTGAATGTACAGGTGGGAGAAAGACAAATAAAACCAAATGCTAAGAAATGCAATTAAATAATTAATGTTTATTTTAATAATGCACTATTACTTAAATAGTGCTTTTAATAATGTTAAAGTACCAATGCCATTTACATTTTAAAATAACAGAGCTCATGAACTACAAAAATCATATTTAAAAATCATCCATTCTTTGCTCATAAGAAATAGTAAGTTAGGGAATTACAAAAATGTACAGTCCTCAGGCCTATTTTCCTTGGTAAGTGGCATTCAAGCGCTGGAAGAATGTCAGGGCATTTAGTCAAAGGCTGGGTGGGAGTGACTTATCAGAAGACAGCAGCAGCTAATTGCATTATCTGGGCTAAATGAAAAGCCTACAAGCTTTGGCTGGGCGTGGGTTTGCATTTCTCCAGCTCGGGAGTGCCAAAAAGGGTTCAGGAGGTCAGGCTGTAAGGAAACCCAAGCTCACTTTACAAGCCAGGCGCTGTTTCTCGCTGCCACTGCCTCTGTGCAACTACCACTTTCCGGCCCTTCGAAATCGCTCCTTAAAGCCTTGTAAACTACCTAAGAGTTCCAGCTCCCACCGTGCCCATATACGGTAAGCCAAAACCACACTCACATTGCCCAACCTAAATTCAGAGCACACAACACTCTCCAAGGCAGATTGATAACATCCTGTAGCCCATAACAGCTTAATGAGAAACACATTCCTCCTTTTTTAAAAAAATGAGCACTGCTCCCTGTCCCAGCAACCTAATACTCTGGATGAAAATAGCGTCTGCTACAGATTAAGTTCTTTCGCCCTATCTTAATTGTGGTTTAATGAAAACTCCCAAGTAGCACCCATATGACTTCTCCGCTATCTATTAAAGCAGCATTTTTCCACTGGTGTAATTTTTCAAAGAGGCAACGAAGTGAATCTAGACTGGCATATCAAAGCAAGTGTCACGTGACACCACTGAAGCTAACAGATTTATTTTGGGATATGCTTTCATGGATTACAATCCATTTCTTCCAATGCAACTTGCATTCCTTGGATTTTTTTTTTTGAGAAAGCAGATTGCAATCCATGAAAGCACATGCTAAAATAAACCTGAGAAAGGGTTCAATTATACTGTAGTTTTCTTTGTATAGCCAAGAATGGACCACTCATGCTAGTGAAAACAGGCCAAATAGGAGCCATCAGAGATAATATGTCTGTAACACGCTGTGCTTGGGAAAATGGAAGGAAAAAGGAAGAGGGGCAGACTAAGGGCAAGATGGATGGATGGTATCCTTGAAGTGACTGGCTTGACTCTGAAGGAGCTGAGGGTGGTGACGGCCG